CCCCCCACACATACACCCACACCGATGGGCGATGGAGACACATCATGATGCAGTCAGTGTACCTCATTGAATCGCGCGCAGTTGGCCACACGGCTGAGAAGACCCAACAAAAACTGAGGCAGGCAGCCAAGCAGCCATCCAGATGGACATCTATCTATGGTCAGGTGTGTGCGATCACCTTGACAGTGCCGAAGTTTATGGGAGGCGCGTCCATCAACAGCTGCACGAGTGAGACACAACACATACAAGACAGACATCGCGCGCACTGCCGCGATAATGTACCTGACCTGCCGCACTGCCCCAGAGAGGACCTCGCGCGGCACATAGGGACTGTGCTCATCTACCGGCGCCGGCCACCAGGGGCAGGGGGATCGATCGATTCACACAGAGACACACAATTGTTCTATGCAGAAACAAGGAGCGGTAGGTACATGTGTGTGTGTGTGTGTGTGTGGTGTCCACGTCGGCCTGCCTTTGAGTCTCTCTAGCGTTGTGAAAGCGTTGAAGGTCAGCAGCGGCTCGGGGAGCGAATCTAAAGGAGAAGTCCACACATGGCTCCTCTCTCTGTTATCCCTCCGTTGGCGCACATACTGAGGAAAAGTTTGAAGGCGACAGCGACGGCGCACACCTCGTCCATGTCAGGCAGCATCACACCTGCGTCCAGCCAGCAGACAACAGCCGACCACATTGGCCATCAAGCCCGCTCCATTGGCTTGCCTTCCTCCAGCTCCCGCACGACGCTGTAGAGCGGTGCGCTGTCGGACTGGAGGAAAAACAGCCGACGGGTCTTGAGCGAATCTGAGGGCAGACACACAGACACAGGCAGGAGACCTGCCGGCATGAGCGTCAATTCTCCATCCATCCATCCACCCACAAGCGCACCCAAATCAGAGAGGGCGTTGACCAATCGCACGATGGGCTCGGGCACCTGCGTGACAAGGCAAATGGATGGATGGATGGACGGACTCATGCGCGGATGCAGGCGTGCCTGTGAGCATCCGTCAGTGTCCACGCCAAGATGGTCCGCCAACACCTCAAGCGGCGTTCCTGCAAGAAGAGACCTCCGCTGTCGGCATGTGTGTGTGCGTGCGTGTGTGTGTGTGTGTGTGTGGGTGAGTGTGGTTGAGACATCCATACCTACCGAACAGGCGCAGTGGAGTGACGCCGTGAAGCTCGGCCTCATACCTCTGACATACAGCCACACAGACAGACAGACAGACAGACAGACACCATTGCCCGCTGCATTGGCGCACACCTGTATAGAGTAGGGGAAGAGCCTCTGCAGCTGGGCGGCGGGCAGCCCCGTCACATACGACAGCTCACCCAGCCTGACAACACACACCCCACATCCACACGCATCCCATCCAGCTGTGTGGGTCAGTCAGGGCCCCACCCGCCCACCGGACCGTTCAATGTACTCAATCTTGTGGAAGAATTTGCTCGACACGAATGCGGTGGCGAAGTTCATGAGCGTACGGAAGGTCAGCGTGGCGTGCACCACATACAGCTGAGTCAGGTTCTTCCGATACCTAAGCGAAGCCAGCAAGCAATGCAAGACAACACACACGACAGACAGCGCGTGGTGGAGGTGCCTGCCTGCCTGCCTGCCACCTTGTCGCTTGCTTACGTACTTGCGCGGCAGCGATGTGTGGCAGCTTTGTATGAAGGAGTAGAGGCTGGGGCTGAGCCAGTTGACGTGCGTGTGGCAGTAGACGACCACGTACGGCCTGTCCACCACGCCATCCAGCGTCTTGACCACATACAAACTGCATGCGGCAATTAACACAGACAGACAGACACCATCCATCCATCCATCAGCTCACAGACAGACAGACAGACAGAAGTACTTACAATGCCCTCTCCAGCTCCTCGACGTCCGGCGAGAGCACCCCCCCAATGAGCATCACCACCGGCCGCCCCAGGTCATCCGTCGACACACGACGAAGCAATCTGTCCTGGTCAAAACTGCAGGCACACCACACACAGAGAGGGAGGGGATGACATTGTGCGGGCGGCGGAATGGGTGGCACTGCGGTGCTTTGCTTTGCTTACTCCTCGAAGTCTTCCCTCTGCGCCTCAATGAGCAGCTCTCTGTACTGCTCCTCTACTGCACGCTCTTGCTCACTATTAGGCATCGGGCCGAAAGGGGTCTCGAGTCTCGCTGGGGGCGGCCCCCCGTCTCGTGGCATGCACTACAGAGGGGTCGGCATACCAGAATATGACAAAGGCCTTGTCGGCCTCCTGCCAGCGGACGCCCATCGCCACCTGCCGGCACCGCACGAATGGCTGGCTGCATATCGGGGCGACGTACTTGAGAATCTTCGCCCTGTCGATTGCTTGAAGTTCGGCATCCGGCTGTGTGTGAGAATCATTGAGTACCCCCAGACCGTCCGTGACGACAGCCGCAGTGGCAGGGCCGGCGACAACGAAAGAGAACAACAAAACGAGATGCATTCTGAAGCAGCGGGTGTGGTGCAATACGCGAGAGGAGCACTTACCCCCCATGATTGAGTTGGTGATTTCTCGGCTGTTTCTCCTCCTTTTCGGATGAGCGAGCGTGTATCGGACTACACCCAACCCCCTCCACCT